AGGGTTTTTTTGGTGTGTGTGTGGGGGGAGGGGGGGGGGACTCCTTCCTTCCTTCCTTCCTCCCTTCCCCCCAGTGCTTGGTGCCTGTTTCTCAGAGCACTGTTCATTAAGCTACGGGCGGTAGGGGAATTGGCCCCATATCATGATTCACTCAAGGCTCATAGCAACCTGCAACGACACCAGCTCTTCCTCTGCCCGGCCCTGCTGGATTCCGGGGCCCTCCTCTCACAGATAGCCAGACCCCTTTCTCTCTCCCCTGCTTGCCTCGTGGCTGTTGCAATGACTTGCATTTAGCTAATGCCCGCCCCAATCCCTGGCCCTCGACCCCCCCCCTTCTAGAGTAGTTCTAGCGGACCCGCCCGCCCTGGCCTTCTGCTGATTAGATCCCCCAGAGATAATCAACATTTTTATCATTACCTCACAACTGACGGATACATTAAGCCAGTGTTTCTCCAACTATGCTCCGCCGAGCCCCAGGAGGCTGACAAACTGGAAACATCGATAGGTACAACACATACCATCAGTGGGCCACTAGGGCTCTGCATATTGGAGCCCCGAAAGTTTGAGAACTGGTGCATTAAGCAGTGCATGTACTTTAAGTCCTATAATTCCAGCTTCAGCATTCTCAGCAGAGTATGTCGGAAGGAAACTGAAAACTCTAAACACTAATCCAAGTCTGATTTTAGAAAGCAAGAAGAAAAATATTTTGTTATTACAAACTGCCTCCAAAGACCCTCAGTGGCACAAGCCATCATCTTGTAAAAGTCCTGGTTGGGCCCTACAGTCTGCAATAGAAAGCCAAGAGCTGCCCCTTCAGCTCAGCAAATGATTCTCTCATTAGGTTAAGGTTTAAATTAGGAAAATGAGCAAGGCAGTTCCAGTAGTAGCTGATCTTTCCAGAGAAACTTTGCTTGATACTAGCACAACTAAGAGGTGGAGTAGGATTCACTGAGGCCCTGAATAGAAAGAACATCTGGGCCCACCAAAGCAATAGAAAGCCAAGAGCTGCCCCTTCAGCTCAGCAAATGATTCTCTCATTAGGTTAAGGTTTAAATTAGGAAAATGAGCAAGGCAGTTCCAGTAGTAGCTGATCTTTCCAGAGAAACTTTGCTTGATACTAGCACAACTAAGAGGTGGAGTAGGATTCACTGAGGCCCTGAATAGAAAGAACATCTGGGCCCACCAAACTCGGGGCGGTCAGGGCATCAGATTCAGGGGCAACAGGCTCTTCCATTTTTAAATGTGGGAGTAATAGCCTTAGGCAGGCACAGAGCAGCATGGGTGTAATTTGAGGGAAGCAAGGAAAGGTGTTGCACCCCCAAACTCCAAGCCTCAGGCTAGAGGCGACAGGAGGAGCAATGCCACATATAGTTGCTGCTTTGGAGACAAAGCCCAGGCAGCAGTGGGGGGTAGGGTTAGCTAAGTCTCCAGTTTACAACCAGAATGCCTGGTTGCAAAGGGACCCCGGCAACTGTGGTCAGCACTGTTGTCCAAGCCATTAAGAGTCTGGTTGGTGCAGGGCTGACAGGCTCCTTACCTGGCTCTGTGCGGCTCCCAGAAACAGCTGGCATGTCCCTTGGCTCCTTGGTGGAAGGATGGTCATGAGGGCTTCATGTGCTGCTCCTGCCCCAAGCACCAGCTTCACTGCTCCCATAGGCCAGCAGCTGCGGCCATGGGAACTTAGGGGGTGGTACTTGCATGCATCTCTCTGCCCTTTCTGCACTCCAAACCCCTCACTTCTGGCCCCAGCCTGGAGCTCCCCTCCCCAGCCAGAGCTCCCCTACGTGCCACATCCAACCCCTGCTCCAGCCTACTGACAGACAAGGAGGGAAGGTAGTGGAGAGTGAGTGACAGGCATGGGGATGGAATGAACGGGGGGAGGGCCTTGGAGAAGGGAAGGGCAGGGTTGTGGCCTCAGAGGCAGCAAGGGTTTTGTTTTGTGCAATTAGAAAGATGGCAATCCTAGTGGGAGCAGCCTCTCACTTGGAGCAGGAGTGACCTGGCAGCAGTGGGGGCAGCCAGGCAGCAGGAGCCAGGTACTGAACAAGAAGCCTGAGGAGGTGGAGTGGCCACTGCTGCCCTGTTCCCTGCTTCTTGTTGCTTGTGTCCTTCCCAGAGTTCCCTATCATCAGGCCAAGTCAGGGTCCCCAAAGAGCATATCTGCAGTCCTCAGGGATGGAGCAGGAGGCCAGACTAGAATCCCCTCCCCTAGATCCCACCAGCAGTGGCATGCACCAGTGGTCAGGGACAAGGGCTGGGAGCTGCTTTGGACACTCCAGCCCTCTGCTCAGGGCAGGTGGGGAGTCCGGGGGTGCTCCCTGGGCAGCTCTTACTAGTGCTTGCTCTGGTTTCTGGCTGGCCATGGGGCAGGGCCTCAGTGGGAGGGAAGAGGAGAAACAGAGGGCAAACCACAGTTCCAGCGATGGGGCTCCCCACTTCTACCCAGTTTCCAGATGGAATAGATTTGAAGTTCCCGTCTGATAAAAGTCACTTTCAGGATTTAGTTTTTATCAGTGAAGCAATTGCATATACTTGTACAGATTGGCCCTTGCCTGCCTATTGAGTGTGATATGCCTAATGGAGAGTTTCCTTTTTTCCTATAAGCTGCCATTTTTCCATCTTCATTTTTCAGCATGAAAAAAACACTGCATGAAGATTTGCATGTCAGGTGGTTCAGCATGCTCCTACCTTTCAGATTACATATACTGTCACATTTGTTGATTGGGGATACAGAAGCTCAAAAATCAACTTTGGGTAATAGGTTTCAATGACTGGATGAAAGTGAATGGCTATTCATGTGAGGACCAAGCAACACATGTCACTGCATGTGGCAGCTTTACAGATTTTACCCTTCACAAGTATCTGTGCATGTTTTAATAAACTAGTATCTGAAAATATCAAGAAGATGCAAGAAGTACTAAAAATAATGCACAATAATCAAAACTTTAGCTAGTTTAGGTCTTCCCTTCCACGGTCACTATGAAGTGTTTGGGAACATCAATTGTGATATTTACTTCACACACACACACACACACACACACACACACTACAAATTTTGACTGAAATGTCAGTCACACTAAGAATTAAATTCTCGAGCAAGACAGTGACAGATAAATGTATGCCTTTTTTTATAGGGATCAGGGAGGGAAGCACATGCTGCAGAGAAACTAAGTGTTTTACTATTACTGCAGCTACAAACACATTGATCAAATGGCTTAACTTTGTTAATATTGATTGTATCAAAGGAAAAGTAGATATAAAAGAGCATTTGTGGTAATAAGTGAGAGAGATGCTGTATCCGTGTGTGACAAGTTAACTGAAGTTTTATTCTGCAGGTATGGATCAGATCTCAAATACATGTCTGTATGGCTTCATCTATACTGCAGAGTTTTTGCACAAGAAGTCTTTTGCGCAAGTGTTTTTGCACAAAATCTTCTTGCACAAAAGCGCATCCAGACCTCAAAGCGCATCACAAAAGCAATGTGCTTTTGGGCAAGAGAGCGTCCACAGTGCATGGACACTCCTGCGCAAGAAAGCTCAGATTGCCATTCACAGAAGGGCCATCAGAACACCTGTGCTTTTATTGATCAGGATTTCTTGTGCTTTTGTTGATAGGGGTTTCTCGTCCCTCCAAAGCATCCACTCCTGCCTTTTTGTGCAAGAAAGAGCTATCGTGCAAAAAGGAGTTAGGCCTTGTGGGCAGAGGAATAACTCTACTGGCAAAAGCCCTCTGTTTTGATTTACTTGTGCAAAAATGCACTTTGCCTTTTTGGTGCAAAAACCTTGTAGTGTAGATGTAGCCTATAGATATATGATGGGCCCAGTGTTATGGCTGGGCCTCATGAAGAACTACAAGCAAAAATGAGAGAACATCTTTCAGGCAAAGGAAGTAAAGTGCGTGCACAGTATATCCATTGTTTAGCACAGGGGTGGGTAATAATTTTTGATGGGAGGCAACTCCAGGAATTTCGAAAGTGGTCGAGGGCTACACTCTTCGGGTATGTCTACACCCGTGGTCCCCAACACGGTGCCCGCAGGCGCCATGGCGCTCGCGGGGGCATTTCAATGCGCCCGCCAGGTGCTCGGGGCTGGCCTGGCGCTGGGCACATGGCGCACGGGCGCTTGCGGGGGGAGCGCGCTTGGCGGGGGGAGCGCCGGGCGCGCGGCACTCGGCGGGGGGGGCGGGGGGGGTGCTCGGGGCTGGCCTGGCGCTGGGCACATGGCGCACGGGCGCTTGCGGGGGGAGCGCGCTTGGCGGGGGGAGCGCCGGGCGCGCGGCACTCGGCGG